AATAATGCTATATAATAATGATATGTGTTATTGTGAGAAAAATGTAAGAAGTTATTGCCCAGTTTTGCCAGTGGTCTTCTCACCATCTAATTTGTATATTTATTTTGTTAATCTTATTCCATTCATCTTTATATGTATAAAATATTATTTATTGGAGCTCAACAGAAAATTGCTGTGTAATTGCTGTTCGACTCCGATAAATCCCTAGGTTAAGCTCAGATGGGACTGGGCCGGGCATGGCCCTAAACACATAGAAGCTGAAATTATGCCCTATACATGTATCTCCTTGTTTGTATCTCTGGAGTCAATATAATTTCCCTAATAACACAATTCCTTTGTCTGTACAAACAAAAAGGCCCTTCATTGGTGAATTTGTTGGCAGAGACGATCACGATTATGACTTTGAAGCCTATCTAGGGGACTTGGAGGAGGTTGAAAAAGAGTGGCGACGATTCAAACTTGTGTTGTGTCTGAGTTCACAGCCCTTCTAGTAACTGTGCTGAGATCAATGTTAGCGCCCCCCCCCCCCCCCCATGTGACCTTCTACATTGCAAAACAAATTAAATCATCGAGTCTTTACTGATTTGTGAAAAAATATACAACCTGTTTCTTAAAGACAAAGGGCGAAACAATTGAGACAACATACATGTCACAAACTATAATCATCATGTCAGAGTTTTTTTAGAAAAAAACTGCAAGAGGGAGCGCTGCAATTCAGGGTGTGGAATTTTTGATAATTACAATGGAGCCTTCTATGGCTTCCTTGGGGCCAAAATTACTATAAGACAGGTCACAGTTGAAGACTGGCCACATGTGATCCCTGGTCATTGAGAATTTTATGGTTGCCAGAGGATCTGCTCCCCAGGTGTAATGGCGGTGCATGGCCATTGCATGAAGACAGTGCGCCCTGTTCCCTTGTTTAAAAAAAAACCTGATAGTTGTACATTGATAGAACAGTAAAGGAAGTATTGTACTTCATACAGTTTGTACATTGTATATATATACATACATGTTCATTTTGTTGCTTCATTTGTGCACTTAGGAGTTGGATGAGGGAGGATTGCGTTGTTATCATTTCCTAGCATACCTTGTAGTTTATACATTGGTGAAACAATCTTTTATTGTACATGTTACTTTTATGTATTGTTCTTCATTATTTGACCTGATGCAAATTAAATAATATTTGTGTGTTTAGTGTATAAGTAAGATATTTTAGGGGTTGTCTCCCGGCTGCTGTCTTGGAGGAGACTGAGGGATAAATAAACAATGGCTTCAGTGTTTAACAGTATCGTTAAATTCCTATTATAAACCGCGGTTTATATTACAATGTATCAAATACAAAATTGGGATCAACAGCTCAAGTTCGGGGTGCGGTTTATATTAGGGACATATTGCCATCACTTATTGCGTGGTCATTTTCCCCACATCACTTGCACAAAACAAACAAAACACCGTACAATCTTTTGAATATAAGCGTAACTCCAATTTAGATGTCAAGGAAGAGTGATAAGCGTCACGTCACAAAAAAACTGTTCACATGAAGAAAAAAATACTCAGTATATTTAATGTAATATGCATTTATTATTTTTATTTTCTTTGTAACAAAAGTATATTCTCACAGGAGTTTCAAATAAAAACAAACAATAATGCATTGCTTAGTAGAAAATGATCATGGTACGGCACTAAAAAATGTACGGTACCGTGTGTACGGTAACTCAATCCGGCCATGCTTCGGCTCACAAGTGAATAACTTGTTTTCGAAGTGTTGAAACTGTTGATTATTACTCAGTAGTGAGTATAATAACGCACGAAAAATAAATTTGTTGAATTGTTATCAAATGCAAGTTAAAGTCAACTTAGTTTCACCGTAAGTAAATTATTTCAGTCACATGTAAACGATCAATGCGATACATCCGCCATGTAGTTTGAATGCACACGAGACGTTACTTTGACCGGATAGGTCAAGTCGCTAATTAATCGCTAATCGCTGGATGGTGCCCACGTGTTCAAATTACCTTAGTTCATTTAAATATGTTAATGACAGGTCACCGACTTCATGGTAAACGAAACACTGAAGCGATTTACCGATAATGTAGTGCGATCTTTTGGCTTTGATTTCCATGGGAAAACTACATGACTTTTTTTTTTTAATCAAGAAATTAGTTGTTTTCGAAAGATAAACTAAGCATTGAAAATTAATTTAACAGTTTTTCGGTGATAACAGCCCATTGTCGAAAACTTGCGACACACTGACATATTCATAAGGAGTATTGACAAAAGTTGTCGCAAGAACAAAAGCAGTTTCACTGCATGTTTGGGGGTGCGGTTAGTAATAAGTACTTTTCATGTTTTCAATTTTTGTTGAGAACTCTTCAACACTGAAGCCGAAATCGGGGGTGCGATTACTATTAGGTATGCGGTTTATAATAGGATATTAATGGTATTGTCAATTACAATAAATTTAATGTCATTTCATGTGATTATATTTACAGAATCTCCAATAGCCATCATGTCGATCGCAAGGCCTCAGATGCGTGGTTTGCTGAAATCTAAAATCAAGCGTGATCTCACGATTGCACTTATTGCTGGGCTTGCTGCTGCTGCCTGTGTGAAATTTGGATGTGAGTAGCACCTATATATCGTATTTGCTTGTTAAATGACAGAGGTGTGTCTATGGCCAAACTAAGGTCATACAAAAAATATATGTATAAAAATATGTATGTTCTTTTAGTAGCTATTTGACTTTTGATTACTACATGTACGAGTTATGAGCTTTCATGAATTACTAGTATATAGTTTGATATGGTTTTAAGTCTTTGAATTATTATAACAAGCAGGGAAAAAATGTGTAATAAGGCTGAGAGAAAAAATATCTCAGTTTCTCGTTTCCATGCGCATCATTTTGAACGATTAGCGTCAAACATTTTTTTTCCTTCTAAAGCATTCCAAAATGCGCTTGTACTCGCACTTGTCTCAAATTTCCTCGATTCTAGCTCAGTATGCAAAAAAAAAATCGCCTCACTGACTCATTTTTAAATTTCCATGAAACGAGGAACAGAATTTTTTTTCTTGGCCTAATAAGGTTATTACGAGAATGCTGCCAGTGATCTCCACAATTCAAAATCGATGCTGGGTGGCTTAATTTGCATACAATTTGTATAAAATTAACATATTTGAAAATATTCTCCTGTGTGTGTTTATAGTGGGTGGGGAGGACACAAGCTATTTTACATGCAATACATTGCTTGTCAGAAATAACTTACAAATAATAACACATTACATATACATTTCAATTTTTTTATTGCTATATACGTGTGTATCTTATTGGATAATGTAATTTTACAAGGTGAGAGATATTCTCTTGTTCCTCTTTTTGGACCATAATTCAGCAGCCCTTGCTTAATTGAAATTGTCTGGTACAGGACCCTCAATCGACACCATCATCGGAGCATTAAGAATTCCTTGGGATAATCTGTTTTGGAGTGTGTTTTGATTCGAGCTAGGCTACTGAAGCCTCTCTCACAATCTGAGGAAAAATATTAATAAAATAAAACAAATTTAAGTGATGAGAATTCAGAATTTCTATGGCTAGTAATATTATTATTTATCATATCATAAGGCCCAATGTGGTGACTCACCTGCTGTTGAAACTGCAATGACCATAGCTACCAGAGTTTTGATAAATTAGGAAATTAGCAATGGTGTATGGTATTCCAATAAATAACTGCCTCAGAAGGTGGTCATAGTACTTAGAATGAAAAAGAAATTTCTCACCTAGTTCATCTTGTCTATGGGTGTCAATCACCTCGGTAAATGCTTCTAATACAATGGGGAAATCTGTTTTTGATATGCTCACAAACTGCCATTATGAATTGATCATGTATCTAAAAAATCAAAGAAACCGTCATCTCATCTGTTAATGTAATACAATACAATGCAAAAGTTTTTATAAAATATAACTTGCCTCTTTCTTAAAAACAGCTATGTCATTGTCAGTACCAGTGGACCATTTGATTTCAACTCCATTACTATTCAGAATTTTTATGTAGTCAATTGTACTTCCGAAATTAGTTCCAGGGACCATTAATCTGGCATCCAAGTGTTGTGATGTTGTCACTAATGCCTGTGAAATCTATGAAAGATTTCTGCAAAGAATAAATTAGGTACATG